TAAATTAAATTATTATTATTTATAATATTATTTTTTAAATCTTGTACTTCTTTTTAATAAATTATACTTATATGAATTTAGCTACAACATATTTTTATAATCATACAAATTATTTATAGATGTCTTTACAAATATATATATATGGGGTTTTTAATTTGAGAACCTATAAAATTGTGATAATCTTAAGAACCGATGTATCACGTGCTATTTTACATAATTTTTTTATGTATAAATATGATTTAGTATATTGATTAACATATATTTGTTTCATAATGTAAATATTTTTTAAATATTTGTGAAACAATATAATATGATAATGTTTTTCATAATTATCACATGCTATTTCAAAGATTGTGTGTGTAGGGATATTTATTTGAAATCATAGAGCTTATAATTCAACTATAATTACTGTATTTATTTATACAAAACTTGATCATAATATAACAAACCAAAATTGTGGACAAATTAAAACTAATCAACCAATTCATACGATTTAAAATATCCAATTTATACTATCTAATTACCAGAAAGTGGAGAGGGGGGAAGGAAACGTATCCTAACTGTCGCATAAACTAATTGTACATATAATATAAAATGTACATGATATCAATGATATAAGTTGAATCGTTCATGATAAATGACATTTACAAGATATTTTTTATTTAATTCATAGAAATTATTTAATATAAAGATTTTGATGTAAAATTATGAATGAAAAAGTGGTATATATAAATGAGATAATAATAAATAAATAAAAAAGAAAAGGAATGTAAAATAGGGGTAGTAGTTGATACAGGACATAAGTGGGGAAACTATGATTGATAACATAATTGTGCGATAAGAAAAGCCACGAATTTTATCATATGCTTACAGAGCACGCGCACCATTTAATAATAATATATACCCGCACACACACTCATTATTAACTTATCATTGCAATTTCAATAATTTCCATATATATATTTATACTATATTATAAAATATTTTGACTACAATTTTTAATAACTATTTTTTATGCATGAACTATTGTTTACTGATGCATATTACTTAAAATTTAAGATTATAAGTAAATTGTACATATGTATAACTTATTAAAGTTTCATGTTTGAATTCGTGTAACTAACTACAGATAAACATAATCAAATAGATGATAAACATCTCATTTTAAATATAAAAACTCTAAAATATAATTAGGATAATCATTAAGTTCTAACAAAATACTTAATTATTGTCTTTATAAAAAATTACATTATTAAACCATAAAAAAATGAATTATAAAAAAAAATTAATAGTTAGTTTCGTACTAATATCAATATTTTTTATCAACTTTTTATGATATATTTTCATATTTATATTTTATTCAAAATAAAAACATTATTATTTTTTCTCAAAACCATATAAAATTGTATTATAATATCGACTAAGACAAAAAAAAAACGAAACATTAAAATCAAGATGTATCTCGCTGCATTGTGCGAGTACTTATATATATATATATATATATCATATGAAGGGTTAACACTTAGCTACCGTTTGGTATACAAACATTATTGGACAGAACTGAACAGGACAAGAGGACTAAACTGGACAAATGCATGTCTGGTATTTAGTACGACTAGGACTAGACGGGATAAAACTAGACAAGTTACCCTTAAAAGTTATTTGATGATTTTAAATATTATATAATATTTATAATTAACTTTAAATAATTTAATTTATAAATGAATATATACATATATAATGGTACTAAATTTGAATGAAAAATTTGATATAATTGATGATAGTATTAGTGGTGGTTGGGGGTGGTTTTGGTTATGGTGGAGGTGGTGGTGGACGACGGTAGTAGTGGCGATGGGCGGTGGTTATGGAGGTAGAGAAGTGGTGGTTGGTGGACGACTGTGGTTATAGAGGAAGTGAAGATGGTGGATTTGTGGTGGTGGTAGCGGTTGACAACAGTGGATTAAAACATATTCACACTATATTTATTGTGAAGGTTCTTAGTTTTTTTTTACCTTTATAATGATTTGTTGTGAAATTTCATTATCTTGTGATCTCACGAAAACATGTTGGTATCACGTGAATCCAACCTTATTAGATTAAGTCTCAAATGATAACAAAAGTTACATTGAAAATGATGAAAATTGGATGAGTTGATTTAATCAACGGCTAAAAAAAATTATTGACCTTCAGTTATCTTCAATTAATTGTTGACAAAAAACATAGACCTTCAACTACCTTTATAAACCTTTATTTTCATTTTCACATGTCTACAATTATTTTCATATGCATGGATTTATTAAAGTTTCAGTGATGATGAGATTTAGGTAATTAAAGATTTAGTTCTCATGTTCTCACTATAACTCTTATTTTCATACAATCCCAGATACATACACACACACACACACACACATATATATATATATATGGTCGGATTCATGTGAGACCATGAGTTTTTCGTAAGACTCATAAAACCAATTTATGTTCATTGATCAACTTTATAAGCTAATGATCTAATGGTCTAAAGTTGCACGGTGACAATTTTGTGATTATTGAGAAGTCTTGTGGCGTTTATGAATGTTCAGATTGTAGATCTAATCCAAGGGTTGAGAATTGGTCTTACGGGTCTCACGAAAAACCATTGGTCTCACATGATCCCAAGTATATATATATATATATATATATATATATATATAGGAATGATCATATGAAAATCGCCTTCATTTGTGTAAACCGTGCAAACCACCTTCATCTGTCGATTTCATTGTTTAATCTT